CCCTTTCTACCCCCCCCCCTCCACAATGTTACCATGAGGACCAGGATGCGAACTTGCGAAACTTCAGGTTCAAAAACCCCAAAGGCTCCCGCAGAAGCACACGGATCCTTAGAAAACGGTTTTAAAAAGCAGTACAAACCTCATAGATGGTGCGCCTAAGTAAAGTTATTGTGCAACAGAAACTGAATGTGGAAGCGACAGAAAACAAAAGACTTGCAAGTCCACAAAAAGAACATTTAGTTTAGGAAAATATGCCCTCATTGTGGAAAACTGAGGACTCCTTTTCTCTGCAAGCTGAAAAATATTCACCCCCTCCCCAATTCTCGCCCCCCCCCTCCTTTTCGTTTTACTACATCAGGTTTTCGAGCATCCCCACACCCCCTTAAAAACAACAACCCCTTCCCTACCCTCAAGCCTATCAAAGGAAAGGGAAAACATTGTTTTTTTGGTAAGTATTTTACGGCGCTCGCAACTGCGTAAGGTCACGTGAGCGCTCGGGACACATCAAACATTTTCAGTTGGAAGGAATTTTTTAATTTTGCCCGGGTGGCGACCGGAGTTTGCTCCTATCTATTTGAGACCACCAAGGAATCTTTAACGTGAGCAACTTGCACACGGGACCTCCGAGATTTTTCGCCCTTGTCCAAGAAGGCTAGGTGTAAATCTTTCCTACCAGAAGGTCAGGGGTGTGGCTGAAAGACAGCAGTATGAAGGAACCAAGGAAAAGCAGTAGAAATGCTGCAGAAAGAGTCGGGAGCCCAGAGGCGGGGGCAAAGGCGGTGAGGGGGTTGGGGCAGAAAATGGAGACGACAGAACATTGCAAGAGAGCAGGAAAGTAAAACACTGTTCAAAGGAAAGGGAAAACACTGTTGACACGACTATAGGATGCAAACGGCCACTTATTGGTAGAGACCTAAGTAACTTTGAATATTTGCACAAGACAAACGTTCTAAAAAAAGGCGGAAATAATGCTTAGTGACCATAGCCACCCACTGACATCGGAATTTCAACTATCGACCCGCAGTAAACGATACATTTCCAAAAAAGCAAGA